AGAAAATAGATTTAAAAAATTTAAGTTTCAGGGATCTGTGGGCTAGACCAAAAGATCTAACGTTTGTGCTATCAGAGTCCCGGAGAAGAGAAAGAGGGCAGAGCTAAAAAAAAAATTGTTTAAATAAATAATGCCTGAAAATTTCCCAAATTTGGCAAAAGGAATCAATCTACAGGTTAAAGAGGCTGAATGAACCTAAAAGAGAATAAACAAAAGTAAATTTCCACCAACATACATGACAGTCAAACTTGTGAAAACTAAAAACAAAAAGAAAAATCCTGAAAGCAGCAAGAAACAACAGCTTATGATTAGCAGGACTGACAATTTGAATGACAGCAGATTTCTCCTCTGAAACTATAGAGGCCAGAAGGAAGAAGCACATTTTTCAAGTGCCCAAAGAAAAGAACTGTCAATCCAGGTTTTACATCCAGTGAAAATATCCTTTAGTAATGAAGGAGAAGTCAAGACATTCTCAAATAAAGGAAGCCTAAAAGCATTTGTTACCAGCAGACCTATCCTAGGAGAATAGCTAAAAGAAATTTCCTAAACAAAAAAGAAATTATAAAAAGAATCTTGAGACATTAGGAAGAACAATGGAAAAAGTAAAAACATGGGGAAATACAATAGACTTGCCTTTTCAAATTTTTTTTTTTGGCGAGGCAAACCTTGGTTGACCTCACAGATTGCAAGGACCTCGTCAGCTTACAATCCCTTATTTTTTACTTTTTTACACCTACAGTACCTGGTCTTCCTAGGTAGTCTCCCAACCATGTACTAACCAGGCCCAACCCTGCTTAGCTTCCGAGATCAGACATTGGGCTTGTTCAAGGTGGCATGGCTGTAGACTCAAATTTTCTAAATTATATTTGATGACTGAAGCAAAAATTTTAACATTGTTTGATATGGTTCTTAATGTATGTATAGGAAAAAATTAAGACAATAATAAATCAGGGAGAGTAAAGGAATTTAAATGGAAGTGAGGTTTTTATGCTTCACTTGAACTAGCAAAATGCCATCACCAGTAGACTGTGATACATTATGTATCTATAAGGTAATACCTAGAGCAACCACTAAAAAATTTATACAAAGAAATATATTAAAAAACACTAACGACAAATCAAAATAGAATTATAAAATCATGTTCAAGTAACCAACAGAAAGACAGGAAAAATAGGAAAACCAAAAACGAAAGGAAAAAGCAGAAAATAAAGTGGCAAACTAATCAATCATTATGTTACATACAAACAGTCTACTTATTTGTTGAAGCCCAAAACTGAAAACAACCAAAATGTGGAATAGGTGAATGGTTAGACAAATTTGGGTAAATCCATACCAGGGAATCCTACTCAGTCATAAAAAGGAATAGACTGTTAATACACAAAATAACTTAGATTTCAAGTGCCTTATGCTGAGTGAAAAAGGCCAATACTATATGATTCCATTGATGTAATATTCTGAAAATGACAAAATCATAGAGATGGAAAACAGATTAGTGATCTAGGCTTGGGAATGGTGAGAGGAACGGGGATGGGCATGATTATAAAGGGGTAGCACAAGGGGTAGCTTTGTGATGGTAGAAGAGTTCTGTATCTTGATCGTAGTCGTGGTTATATAAATCTACATGTGACAAAATGATATAAAACCATATGCACACACATTGTACCGATGTCAGTGTCCTGGTTTTGATACTATACTATAGCTACGTAAGATGTAATCATAAGACAAAACTGGGTGAAAGGTACATATGATCTTTTTGTGACCTCCTGTAAATCTTTAGTTTAAAATATCACATATAAACTATATATATATATATATATGCGTGTGTATATCTAAAGCGTAGAAACATTTTGCAAAAATAGGCATAAAATTAACAGTGGAAAAGAAATACCTATATTATTTGAATTTTTTAACAAAAGAATGCTTTCATGAATATCTTTTTAAAAAAGACAAAATTATTGTAAAAAATTCAAATATAGAAAAATATACACAAAATGAAAATTACCTGTTTTATGATGCCATCAAAATATAACTTCATTTATTCACTTATTTAACAAATACATACTGAGGGTATCCTATGGTGCTGTTAACATTTTGGTATTTCAGAATTTTCCTGTGTATCCAGTCATACAAATTATAATCATTCACAGATATGTATTTATTATACGTATAACATGCTCTCATTTCTTCTATTCATCCATTATTCATCTATTCAGCAAATACAGAGCTGTGGCTTCAGCCAACATCATGCTAGGCTCTGAGATTACAATGGTGAATAAATTAGACATGGTCTGTTTCCTCACAAATCTTATAGTATAGTGACTGCCACCAAACAAATTTTCTGAAAGAAATACACAATTACAGATTATGCCAAGTTTAGACAAATGAAAACAATACTTTGAAACACCTGTAAAAAGATGGTAAGATACCATATCACGTTTCTCATTGATGAAAATGAGCCAGTAAAGAGAAAGGTTAAAGACAGAAGAGAAAGAGAGAGGGATATTGGATTTATAGAAAGCTTTCTGAGAAGGAAGAGCCAGAACACAAATGTAAGGGTTGGTTGTTTCAGGTAGAAACTGCCACATTGAAACAGAAGAAAAAGAAGCGAGAACAAGCGCAGATGTAACTTAAGTTTGCAGATTTACATGTCTGAAGTTGAGGCAACTCCTCTTTGAGATTTTCTGTTTTCTTTGCAAAGTATAAGACAACATCATCTGCTAAGAGCAAGGATGTAAATCGAAAGATCTGAAGTTTGAAGAGAATGAGGTTTCAAAATAGTCATTTGGGAAAGGAAGTTCAATAGAAAAAGAGGTAGTAAACTTGCCAGGCTGAATTAAGGGCCTGTAGTCTGTCACTGCTGTCTCACCATTTTTAGCTCACTGATCACAACCAGGAAAAAGGCAAGATCCTTCATATTAGAACAGAGAAACAAAGTGATACAGTGAACCAAATTTAAAAAAAAAGAAAGAATTGTTTTTCAACTGGAAGGAAAGAAAATGGTCTAAGAGAGAAAAGGAAAGGAAGAAAACAGGTCAGGGGAAGATGGAAATAAAAGCAGGGTGGTGATGGATTTCTGGCCAGGGTAGAGGAACGTCCTTTTGTTTTCCAATCCAAACATGGTCACAGCGATAGCTGTTAATCATCTGCTTTTGTGAAACTGGTTCTATATTTCTTTTAGTCTTAGACCTTATAATCTGTAGACACCCTATGGAGGAATTCCCAGGCATCTTTAGTTGCTGCAGAGAAGTATGAGTGAAGCACAAGGATATCATCCTCCATGCATTAGAAGATAGGCTTTAGTGAGCAACGGGAGGCAGAAGTTTAATTTCTCTTCTTATTGGTAGTTGTGAGTTGCTGAGAGCCCTTTCTTAGGCCCAATTTGTATTCAATCCCAGTTACTGAGCTTCCAGTTCCTTTACTCTAATAATATCTTTCAGTCCATTTTTGATTTCATGAATGTTTAGCTAAATAGAAACTGACTTGGAAGAACTGAGATCTGGACTAAAGATAACTTAAAACTATCTGTTAAATGGACCATTTGTCCAAAATACTCTACTACCATTATTCTCTGAGAAATACTACTCTTAAACATTTGGCAATTGTTAAACAATCTACACTCTAGTAATTCCAAATTTATCGGATCCTTTGTACAATAGATATTCCACTATTAGAAGAACCTCTATACAAATACTTTTTCTTAGAATTAGTGAAGCTTAAAGGTTTTAGTTGACCTTGATGATTAACAAAAACAAGCTTTTCTAGTCATAACAGCAAAAAAATATATAGTGGCCAAGCAGCTGGTTAGCACATGAACAAGGCAAGGAAGAGACAGGGTTGAAAGCAAACATAATTCATTCCAGAATCCAGTCCCTTGTCTTTTAACTCTTTCTTTGGCTAGATTGCTAATGCATAATTTTTGTACAAATTCTTTAAATGGGGGAATTTTCTCGTCCTTTTTGTTTTTGAAGGAAAGACAAAAAAAAAAAAAGCTGTTTTTTAAAATTAACAAGACAGAGGTAAGGAGAGAACATAAAATAGCGTGTCTTAACTAAAACACTGTTAAGAAACAAAACTTGGCTCTTTGCTCTTTCTTCCATCACAGCCAAAGGGAAATGAATGTTACTTTGCTGTCAAGTATAAGGTAAAATACAGGTAACTCAAAGACTGCTGACTATTTGGGGGCCAATATTATTTTCGTGTTTTTCCTTTCTTTTTAAAATCTAGGTTTTGTTTGGGACCACATACAACAATATTGCGATTTTTTTCCCCTTTCTTTTCTGGCTAACAGCAAGTGATGCACGTTGGGAGGTCGCTGTATGAACCAGAAGGGATCGCTTTAAATTTTCCTCAAAGTCCGGTATTCTTTCGTCAGGGTTTGTAATTGGCTCTTCCCGCAGAGGGAAGATGGAACAGAAGTGGAGATGGGCGGGTGAAGATACAATTCGATACAATACCATAATCTCCGGAGTAGCTCTTACATTGAGATTTGCTTCCTTGGTTCCCTGAGTAATTTAGGCTTGCTCCTTCCCTTTTCCTGACAGTCTTGTTTCCCCTTGGACTGGGTAAAATGGGTAGAATTCTGAGCTCCCGAAATTACTACTGTTAGGGGACCCTGGTGCAAGGGAAGGGTCTCAAGTCTTTAGTCCTCAAAGGTCACCTTTCAGGCCTCATTCGGAGCATGAACAAAGCCAACGAGCCCGAGTCCCGCGTTCCACAAAGACCTCAGCACACCTTGGGAAGCCACTGCACCATTCCCTACCCACCTCGGTTTCGGCGAAACAAAACCGGAGACGTCCTACCCACCGAGAACCCTCCCAGCTCCGAGCCCACTAGCAAGCGCATGCGCAGACCAGATGAGGCCCGGCAGCCGTCCAGAGGTTGCGGGCATCTGCACAGTGGTCACAGTCTCAGAAAGGCCTGGCTCCCTCGTCACCGTAAGACGCCCTGGCAGCGGCTATCTAGGATTACAGCCCCCAAGAGAAACAAGGGGAAGAACTGTCTAGCCTACAACGCGTTTCCGTTTCAAAGCCTAACTTCCGGCTCTTCAGCCGGTTCCGGTCCCTGCCTTTCACTTCCGGTCGCCTTCCGCTCTGCTGCGGTCGGTTCCTGCGTCCGCTGCTGCCGGTTCCGCCACGCTGCAGGTGAGGGGACTCGGGTCACCCCGCTGTGTTGTCAGCGGAGATGTTGGTAGACCGGGGAACTGCAACTTTGCTGTCCTTGGGACTTCTACTGCCGCCGGCCTCAGCAGGCCGGGAGCTGCTTGTGGGCGCCCCGGGTCGCGTCTATCCTAGTCTGCTGCCCAGGCCTCCGGCCTTGGCCCGCTGGTTGCAGGGATCGCCCCCCTCCCATCAGGCCTTCTCGCCTAGGTCAAGGGTTTCCCGCGCCCCAGTAGGCTTTGCATCCCCAAACTTAAGTCCTCCCTTTTCTGGCGTTAGCATCTCTCCCTCTTCCTATTGAAGATACCCTGGCCCTCTTGGATATTGGGGTCTCCATTCTTTCTAGGCTATTCCATACCAAACACTTCCACAGCTCTCTCCTCTGCACTACCTCTCAGTTGCTGCTACAGTGCCGTCCTCAGTAGGAATTGAGAGTAGTGCTTCACATGCCTTTTACTAGGTTTGTTGATAAATTAATTCCCTCCCCACGATTCCCGATATGTTGGCTCCTGGTGCTATTTAAAATTTCCACCTTTACTACTTTTTAGTTGTGTGATCTTAGGCAAGTTGCTTTAGTACTTTTTGAGTTTTCTAATCTGTATAATAGTATTAAAACTATATTTGATTTTGACTCGACAGATCCTTTTGGCTTTTTATTGAGGATCATAACATTTGTTAGAGCAAGTTCTCTCTAAAATGGAACACATTGACCTAAAGTAACACACTTCATTTAAATTTTTAGTAGAGCAGGTTGTAAACATGAAAGTAAATATAAGTGAATTTATAGTGCTCTCTCCTAACCCACACACTGAAGACACCTTAAGTTTCTAAATTACTTTTTCCTATTAGGATTCAGAATTTGGCTTCTTGCAGTTGGTTGTAATACATGAAGAGTGCAATTAAAGGTTTCAGTAAAGTGACAGCATTTGGAAATACTAGTACTTTGAGATTAGAAAATCTAGTTCTCTGACCTATGGGGGGAATAAACTTAAGAAAACTGGTAGAAAGCTTTGTGGGCAAAGAGACCTACATAATGTTGTCAATGAGAATAGCAGCTGCTATATCATCTTTGTGCGCTTATATCTGTGCCTTTGGGTTTTGTATTTATTGATCTTTGATGCTTTAACTCCTGTAGGTCCAATTCAAGAGAGAAAGTTGTGTAGAGAAAAAAACAGATTTAGTCAGATCTGTTCTGTTACCAGCTATGTGCCCATGAATAGAGATTACATAGACTCTCTGAACTCCTGTTTCTTTAATTGTAAAATGACAGTTCTCATCAAACAACCTTGTTAAATGAGATTGTCTGTGTAAAAGCTGTCCAATTTATTAAATATGAAACAAATAATGGCCATTTACTGTTTAGCACAGTGCCTGTAACACTTCAGTTCCAGTTTTTTAAAATTTTATTTAACCTATACTTACTTATAATTTTACTCTGTGCCACGTACTACATGAGTTAGAAATATTAACTAATTTAATTTTTATATGAACCCATAAATGTAAGTAGTATTGTCATCCCTATTTTGCATATGAGGAAAACTAGGCACTGAGTCAAGTAACTTCCCAAAGTCAAATAGTTAACAAGTAGGAGAGCTGGGATCTAAACCTGAATAATCTGCATCTAGAGTTTGATTTCTTAACGACTCACCAGACTACCTCTGAAATGTTAAATAAACAATGGTCCATCAAGGAGAAAGTTGCCTGTAGCATAAACCTGATCAAATATAGAGGGAAAGATAGGTAGCTCATTAATGCAGCTTTCCGGTTGAACAGAGAGAATCTATTAATAGAGTATTAAAAAGTAGTAACTCTAAGCCAAATTGGGAGGATGGGGGAATTTTAACCTTGAGTCCTAATAACTTTTGACATTCTGTTTCTCTGTCATCATGTTGTAAAATAGAACTCAAACTGCACAGCTTATAAAACTTAAATGTATAGGTTTAGATACATCTTTTATATGTTTATTTTAACTTAATTATTTGTACATGCTTTTCTTCTAGGTATTTTTTCCTGAACAAAAGCTGCCTCAACCTATGTTTCAAGGATGGCTCTCCCTATCATTGTAAAATGGGGTGGACAGGAATATTCAGTGACCACACTTTCAGAAGATGATACTGTGCTAGATCTCAAACAGTTTCTCAAGACGCTCACAGGAGTGCTACCAGAACGCCAAAAGTTGCTTGGACTTAAAGTTAAAGGTAATTTTCTCCTCACTTCAAATTTTTTGCATTGATACAAATTTTTATATTAGCTATTTATTCTCCTTAATAAGTTTTTCCTCTTGGAGATTTCTTTGATAAGAATATTTCTAAAATTGTTGTATGATATAAGTAAGAATGTAAAGGTTACTTGAACATACTACCACAATTAAGATTACTTTTGCATCCTCCGATAGTTGGTGTATGCTTGTTAAACGTTTGGTGCAGAAGTACCAGGTAAAATAATATAAGTTTTGACATCTACCTTTTAGCACAGCCTTTTCATTATAGCTTGGGCTTTGTACTTTCCCCAAATCTTTTCTATTTTGAAAGTAATGATGATTTAAAATGAAGATTAGCAATTACAGGCAGTGTTCATATCCACTCTAAAAGGAACTTTTATAGTCTCTTTGTTCGTCATAGTACCAGTGAAGGGTGAGTTTTGAGTAACATGAAATCTACACTTATCTTAGGCACACGATATTCAAGACTTTCTGGAAAACAAGTTATCTTTACCTTGAACAACAAGGCAAATCAAAACATGAGTTTATTTTGGTTAGTTAGTTGCATAACGGTGTTCCTTAAAGTGGAGTTGGGGAAAAATCAAACCTTGTATTGGTACTTCTTAGTGTGTTAGAAGTTGCTAATTCAGCAGTAACAGTTTGTTCATTTAAGGAGGAAAAAAACTGCTATGGAAACTGTACCAAATCTTTTAATATTAGGGTTTTGTATAATGGGATAGTGAAACTAGCACCTGAACTTTAGTGAGAAAACAGTCATTTGCTTGTATTGTAGGCAAACCTGCAGAAAATGATGTTAAGCTTGGAGCTCTCAAACTGAAACCAAATACTAAAATCATGATGATGGGAACTCGTGAGGAGAGCTTGGTAAATGTTTACTTTTGTTACCATTTATTCTTTTGAAGATATTATGATTTATATTACCCTTCTGTATGGTAGTTTTAATTGTGGTAAAATTGTCAGTTTAGCAGTCAATGAAAAATAAAAGTTGCATAGCGAATGTGGTATTAACTCAAAAAACAAATACTGGAGAACTTATTAGTATATAGTGAGCTGTAAGTATAGTATTAGTGCAGATGGTCAAATTTAACATGGTAAATCTGCCCAGTGAACATATATAACAAATTATAAAATGTGGAAATTTTTCCACAGTGTATACTTGAAAGACTCTTGAACTCATCTCTCATTTGCTTATTATACTATGCATGTATTCGTTATGTTAAGATAATATGGTAAAACAAAACTTTTTTATCTTAATAGGAGGATGTCTTAGGTCCACCTCCTGACAATGATGATGTTGTCAATGACTTTGATATTGAAGATGAAGTAGTTGAAGTAGAAAATAGGTAAGTGCTTTTCACTATCAAAGAAAATTACTTGTAATGTGAGAAAAAGCGAGTATTTCATCTGACTTTATTTTTCCATCAGGGAAGAAAACCTACTAAAAATTTCTCGCAGAGTAAAAGAGTACAAAGTGGAAATTTTGAATCCTCCCAGGGAAGGGAAAAAGCTTTTAGTACTTGATGTGGATTATACATTATTTGGTAAGTCAGCTACAATTGCGATTCATATTCTGTTATCCACAACTTTTTTTCTTTTGTTTTTTCCTTGCAATATGAAATACTTGAAAGCTTTTCTTGTTATTGTAAAAATAAGTCATTCATTGTAGAAAATGCAGATAAGACTAAAAGAAGTCATCTGTAATTCTGAGACCCAAAGATGACCACTGTTACCTTTTCGTCTGCATCTCCCAGGGTGTGTTTGTATGTATATCCTTTTTACTTAATAGTATATTAAACATCTCAGTCATTAAATATTATTCATTGTGCATTAAATATATACGTATATATTTTTTCGGTTACACAGAATTCTAGTTTATGGGTACATCATAGTTTAACCATGTCATTCTCTGTTGAGTAACATTTAAATTCTTATAAGGATTATTTAAAAATATTTTTTGATATTTTGTCCCCGGTTTTCTGTTTAATTATGTTTCCTGCAGATTCGTGAATTTAAAATGTCTCATGTCAACAAGAAATATGTTCATTTCATCCTCTAATATTATGAAGCAATGATTAGTTAACTTCTGATATTTATTTATTTACCTATTTATTTATTTACCTCTAATCCTAAACTTTAAGTACATGTCATAAGTTTTTACATACTTATTTTAAAATTTGATTATAAGTTAATTGGGCCTGTCATTTTGGTGAAATGCGATTGTATCTGGAAGATGAATGGCTAAAAGTGGGTATAAGTGGGCCTAGTTTGTTTTTCATATCATAAAGTAGCATCTACACTTTAGAGACTAGATGAGAAAAAAAATAACACTTTACTATATAAGCCTCAATTCTGGCTGTTGCTCTTCACAGATTGAATAAAATTATCAATTAAAATTAGATCACAAGTATATTAAATTGTGTGCTTTGAAGACCTCTCTTTGTCAGCCAGTGTAATTCAGTCTGAAGTAGCTTGCATTTGAGTATTTGTATTACGTTTCCTAAGTTAATTGATATTAGGTACTGTCTACTATAATAAACTAATAATTATCTATGGCTGATTTTCTTTTAGACCATAGGTCTTGTGCAGAGACTGGCGTAGAATTAATGCGGCCATATCTTCATGAATTCCTAACATCTGCATATGAGGATTATGACATTGTTATTTGGTGTAAGCTATACATTTTTTTTTTGTTTAGATTTCCATGGAAATAAGGTTGTTTCTTATTCTGCTTTATAAAGTGTGACTTAAATGATCTTTGTTTAAATATGAGATGTTTTTCTTTTGAGTTAGCAAATTTCTGATTAAGCATGTTTGACTTTCTCGCATCATAATATAAACATATATATATTTGCTAAATAACACTGAAATAGTTAAATATAAAAAGAGTAGATTATAGAGTCAAAATAAAAATGGCCTTATTTTGTAAGACCTCACTTTTATTAGGAACTTTTATATCTGATCTTAACTGTAGAATCTTTGATGCTTCAGGATATTTTTGCTTTCTCCTTAGTTCTAGTTTTAAAACACTTGACGAAAGATAGATATTTTTAAAATTCACGGTGATGTTCTTCAGAAATAAAAGCAATATGAATTTACTTAAGGAAAATTAGTAAATGGACTAAAGCAGTATTACTCAAATTGTGGCCTATGGACTATTCCAGGAACTTACAGATATGTGATAAGATGAAGATAAGGAGTTCTCAAAAAGTAAATTTACGTTATTGAGCACACTGATTAGTTCAACTGACAATTTTTTTTCTTTTGGCAAGACTTTTTCGAAAAGGGAAGCAGTGTATTGATTTATATCTCACCTCCCCACAAATATTTAAAGTTGCTTCTAGCAATATCATAAGCAGAGAAGGGCTATCCTAATTGTGAATTAAATTAATCTAATCCAAGATGCTATATTTAATTGTACTCTTTTTTTTTTTTTTTTTCTATAATGGTGACATTGGTTAATGGAATCCAGTAAGTTTCAGGTGTACAATTTAACAGTAAGGCATGTATATGTTCACTGTCAATAGTTACCCCATCTACTTTTTACCCCATCTACTTCCCTCCTACCCCATCCCCTGTAATGGGTTTTTGATGAGAGGCCACATAGATGTATTACAGTTCGTAAGTTTCTTTTGTACTATTCCTTACAATCAGAGTCTTTCCATTGTTCAGTGTTAATATGAGTTCACAGCCATTAAGATTAAATACATAATTTTCTAGTTTATAAGTCACAGAAAAGAAAGCTTCCTGTGAAACAAATTTTTGTTGAGTAACTCTGACGTCTGAGATGACATTTGAGAACAAAGTTTACCCTCTAAATGTTATTAGACTTAGAAAGTTAGGGAACTTTTTACAATCATGTTTAAAATAAGTTATTTTTGTAAACAATGATATTTCATGGTAATATGTTTAAAATGGCACCTCATTTTGGAGCTAAGTAGACTAGGGTTTTAATTCTGGCTCTGTCTTAGCCACGTGACACTGGAAAGGTCAGTTAATCTCTCTGAACCTTAGCTTCCTCATCTGAGAAATGAAGATAAATAAACCTATATTACGGGTAGTTGTAAGAATGAAAATATTGGTATAGTACCTAATCCATGTTTGGTAATATAATGGTTACCTATTAATTAGAAACCCTTTTTATTGTGAATCTTTTTGTTTTTCATCTGAAAATCATAGACCCAAAATATATACTGAATTTAAAAATTGTTTTCCCCTCTCATGATTGTTGTCATTGTAGATACATCGGTCTCTAAAATTTTAGTTCAGCTAGCCAATTTTGCATGGAAAGTGATTCTTTTTAGTATGTGTGCGTGCGTGCGAGTGTACTCTAAATATTTTTATTTTGAGAACGCAGGTACCTCTGTTACCCTTAAAACACACACACTCTTAAAATAATTGAACTCCTTTCTCCCATTTTGAAAACATTTTGCTTGGTAATACCTATTTGGTTTAGTCTGGTAACTTGAGACCAGGAAGGCACATAAACCTGAGGATTGGATTTTAATATCAGTGAGCTCAAAACTAGTTGGTGTGTGACATAAGCAGATACATAACTTAGTTTATGAATTTAATTGTGTCTGACTCCCTGTTAAAAGCTGCTATAGATTCAGTACTGAGTGTGCTGAGCCTGGCAGAACTCACTGGACCAAGGTAGTCTTTAACATTAACTTTTGACACATAACATTAATCTGTTTATGTTGACATACTACCTGTGTATTACTTGGAAAGAAGAAATGGGGATCCAGATCCCCTAAATTTAAGTTTAGAACTGATAGAGAATAATGTAAGGGCTGTTTTACCAAGGGACTTAAGGTCTCAATTTACAAATTTCCTAGGTTCAAAGTTCGTTTGAGCCTTGGTTACCTATATCTTTTAGGTAAAAGATGTTTAAATTTTATTATCTTGAAGACACACTAAGATAAGTTTATTTTTGTAAATACTTAAAAGAAAATTAAAATAAATATGTTAGGGATTATTAGTTGTGATGCATTTGAACTTTTAGTCTTGCTTAGAAAACTTAACTATTTTATTTATACAGAAGATTTTTTAAATGAAATTCAAGCTTTTCATATGTCTTGTTCATATGTTCATATTATCATTCCTCATGTTTTAGCTGCAACAAATATGAAGTGGATTGAAGCTAAAATGAAAGTAAGTGTTAGAAAACAATCCATTTAAAAATGAGAGTTTTGAAACTGCATTTGTCTTTTTACAAGTTCCTATTTGAATTCATTTCATTCTCACTGGAGGGCATATAGTGGATAAATAAATAGCAGTATCAGGAGTTAGAGGTGTGTTTAAAGTCTGTTTAATGGTGGATTGTATCGAATACCAAGTCTTTTTTCAAGAAAAAATACAGCAAAGCTCCCCCTCCTCTTCCCCATTGTACAGTAATGCTTTCTTTTCCTTCTTTTGTTTCGGTGTATGATACTTAAAGGAGTGTTGCTCTTCTAAAATAGTTAATTGAGAAGTAATCTGTTTCTAGTTTATTTTCTTTGGAATGCCATTTATTGACTTAACTAAGTGAAACTAAAGTACTTGCCAGTTGTTAAGCAACAGGTGGTAGCCAGAGGGGAAGAAAGTTGGCATTATGGGAAATCGTAGCTGGGGCATTCAGAAAGCCCAGAATTTTCCACATTATTATGTTTTAATCAGATGAATATTTGTATTTATAGGAGCTGGGAGTGAGCACAAATGCAAATTATAAAATTACCTTCATGTTGGACAGTGCTGCTATGATAACAGTGCATACACCAAGGAGAGGATTAATAGATGTAAGAAGTCATTTTAAAGACTTATTTTCTAATGTACTTTTGTATTATATTATAGACTAAACTACAGAAAGATTTTAGAAATACATCTGCGTGGATAATAAAGTAGCAGTTGAATTTTGCCATAGAAAGTTGTTTTAAGGTTAATGCATTTGAATTTCATTTTATTTTATTCTTTTTTTTTAATTTGAATTTTGATAAAATTAAGGGTCTTGAGGCAGAAAAGGTCATTTATAATTCTGGATAATTCTCCTATGGTAATAGCAGCACAGTGTTGCTAAAGATAGAGCAGATGAGAAAAAATATTGAATGTTATTAAGGAAGATGCTAGAAACAACCCAAAATATACTTGTCTTGCTCTGTAGGAAACTATTAAATAAAAACATACATCATCATGAATGTACTTTGGGTGATAATATGTGAAGCCCTAGAGAAGAGCAATAACCATCAGAGAAAAGTGTTGGACTAAAAAGATTAGGGTCCTTTACTTTGTTTATTCATCAAAGTAATTGACAAGTAGTTGTTATTGAATTACTATTCCTGAACTCCTAGTTTCTGAAGGCCCTGTGAAAGGCACTGTTAGGAATAAAGAGATGAGGAGACATGATCCATGCCTTTTGGAAACACACAAACTAATAGGAATTAGAACTTACCATGTTAGGAAAGTTTAGGGGGGACAGTATTATAATTGTCAGAATCATAAATAGAACTGTTTTAAGTACATGGGAATTTGTTTAGTAAAGGAAATCCTACATTTATCTGGGGGATTATATAATGTATTACCTACTAAAGTACATTTACAAAATCTAAACAGTAAAGAAAAGTTTGGGAAATGTTAAACATAGTGTTTATAATAATGAAAAGTTATAAGAATAAAAATCCTCACTGACAACAGGGAATTAGATATGTAAATTTTTATTCATCCGTATAATGTGATGCAGCTAAATCATATGATGTGGTAGAATATTTAGTACTTTAAAATTTTTTTATGATACATCATTAAAGTATTTTAGAGAGCAGGATTTGCAAACTGTCAGAAAATAGTTCTTAACCTTTGGCTGGTTCAGGGTTCCCCTTAGCTTAACAAAAAATCTGTTAACTCTCTGAGGCTGCTGTTTATAAAAGACTGAAGGTAAAAAAATTTTATCATAATATAGAGTTATCTTTGGTACTGATTGGATTATAAGTAAATTAAAATTTTCCTTTGTGTTTTCAGTTTTTTTCCTATAGTCAGCAATATTACTTCTCATTGAGAACAAAGTAGTCCATGTTTGGGGATCAAGTGGCGTTTAACCTAATTACAAAATGACAGCAGCATTTAAGAGGATGTAGGATTTCTAACCCTAGGTGACATAAAGCTCTTGCCATATTTCTTGAGACTTTTTGTTAGCTAAGAAAAACCAAGAATCTGGCTTATCGTGTCAGCTCCTGTATATTTATTTTCAAGTATTTGGGTTTTTTTTTTTCCCCCAGTAGTAAACAAGTAGTGTAAACAAATTTAGAGCAATAAAATTCTGGTAAAATTAAAATATTTCAGTAACAGTCTTTGCCACAGCTAGGACACTAAGAAGAAAATAGGCTTTCTTCAATTTAAAATAAATTATAGAAGAAAAAACATTTTTAAATGACAACCCTTATCATTATTTACTTACTACCATTTAATTTCATACAGTTATTACCATATAATCTCATATCATAAATGAGGCCCCTTCCTACCTTCAGCAAAAAGTACTTTCTCTGCTAGAAATTAATAATTTTTAAAAAAAATTTGAGTCTTTCTCCCACGTGGGCCCACCACTACTTCCTACAAGAAATCACTGTTATTTCTTAAGTGTTCTTACAGACTTTATACAAGTACCAACAGATATAAATGCAAAAGGAATTATGTTTTTGAAGAATCATTTTAAGAATTCAGAAATAAAAATTTACAGATTATGGTGCTTTTGAAGTTAAGCAATCAAATGCCTTAGAAATGACGCATCTATGCTACTGAATTAAAGACAAAATCAGTTTTTCCTCTACAAAATATTTAAATTGTGTATTAAAAGAGCCAGGTACATTGTTTGTCACTAAGGTTTTCTGGTTTTGAAAACAGACCCCATGTGACTCTCAGGCTCTGAGGGAACATATATTAGCCCGGTAAGTCATGTGACTGTTCATCAGCCATCTGAACAATTATGTTAGATTCCTACTTTTTAAATTGAATAATTACTCTTCCTTTGACCCCAAATCTTTATGTTGAAATTATGGAACGTCTTATAATGGGATTTAGTTCGGTTAGACATGAACAGAGCTTTCATAAGTTAGTATTTCGAGATACATCGTGCTTTAAAGTGTGTGGCATCTCAGTTCTGGTCTGTTCACACAGCCAGCCGTTCCTGCTCTACAGAGTAAGGGAACATGCTGGCGTAGTTCTGCAGGGCATTTTGCAGTATCTCTGCTTTTAAGAAAGAGTTAACTATTGATAAAATTTGAGTTAAATCTAAACTTTTATTCTAAGGTAAAGCCTCTTGGTGTTATATGGGGAAAGTTTTCGGAATTTTACAGCAAAAAAAACACCATTATGTTTGATGACATAGGAAGAAATTTTCTAATGAACCCACAGAATGGACTAAAGGTAAGACATAATTTACTTGCTATGCTCACATAATCTGGAATATGTGATAGAATTTAAGTACTGTTTAATTTCTTAAGTTTTGGAAGTACTGTATTCTTATGGTCACAGGCAAGAATAGCTTAAGTATTTAGAAAAATTTATATAAAATCGAACTCTGTCTCCTTGGTTAACCAACTCATCCAGGTGCTTTATTTTTAATTAGCACTGTGGAGCAACGTGAGTTTATTCACTGTTAACTAAAAGTGAAAGTATCACATTTTATTAAGGATACAAATCTTGGAATTTCTGATATTCTGGGTAGCTGTTTTAAACTGAAACTAAGAAGTTTTTTGAAAATTCATACAGTATAAGCAGAGATCATAGAATTATAAAATGCTGGAGCTGGAAGGAACCTTAGTCATCTTATCTAGTTTTTTAACTTTATAGAAACAATCTGAGGATCAGAGAGTCCCAGATTGTGTGTAACTGGTTAATGGTAGAATTTAAATTCTAATCTAAGTGATTTGGTTCCTAGGCCAGTGATGACCTTAGCATGAAGTCACATGGAGTCTCGTGTAGCCGTGATAGTGACATTTAATTCTGGTAACATCACAAAATTGGCAAGAGAGAAATTTGGATCCTAAGATTTCTAGTACCTATGTTTTTCTTGTCGGTACAATATGAAGATGTAAAAGATAGCTCTATGTTATAGTACTAATGCAGGTAGAGTCCCATTTAAAGTAGAAACCCTGACATTAAGATATTTTTATTCTCAGTCCTGAACTTTTTCACAAGCTGGATCCTTGATATCTTTGAATAGCACTGTCCATGCTACCTGTTTGGAAGTAGAATCACCTACAAGTGCTTGCTTCTGCTCAGACTCAGAGCTCTTACTGGTGTCTTGAAAGCTGCAGGAGCCCAGCTGACTTACAGCTGTGGAGGTCCCTGGCACCAGGCTGTTCTGATGCAAATAGAACCTATGGGAAAATTTTCTTCTGTCTATTTCAAGCTGGTGGTTTCTTTTTCCAATGACAGAGAAGAAAGTATATTATAAATTTAAAACCTTCCCTTCTCTTGATAGACGTGGTATAGACTCCTTTGGGCTCATTGTTCTTCTCATCAGGTGACAATATTTTTCAGTGTTACTATGTAAAATTAGTAACTAATGACCAGATGGCATTTTCTCCAAATCACAATAAAGATGTGTTAATACAGTTCTCTACCCCATCTACCATCCTGACTTTTATACTTTTTAAAATGAACCATAAAATATATATCAACTTTAAAAATTTAGAATATAACTGTTCTTTTTATAGGAAAACTCTTACATAAAAATATTTTCATGGGGACTTTAGTGATAATGCATATGATAAAATAGAAAATGGGTTATATAAATGTTGTAATAGCTATATAAAAATTTCATAGGTAAATACTGAAATGAAAATCATCGATGTTAAAATTTATCTCTCCTGTAAGATCAAGCTTATATTTGGGTTAGCTTTTTCTGAATGAAGCAACAAAAATGAGATTATTCAGTTAATAAGAAGCAATTGGATTGATAGAAAGGGAAAAAAATCCAAGCAGTTTTGCAAAGAGAATCCACGTAGGATTCAAGTGCTGTAGGAAAGCTGGTATTGTCAGGTTCAGACTAGAAAGATAACATAAGGTAAATTAGGTGAAAGAACTCTTAACTTGTACTGTAAACAGTATACCATGACTGTCAGTTTATTAAACCAAGATAATATAAAAATAATTTTTAGTATTGACACCCTTGGTGATATTTTAATCTTATTAACTTAATTTAAATGATCGAATAGTATAGATTTCTACTAGTTTTCTTATTGCAGTGTGAAATGTTGGGTAATGTTTGTTTCCTAATAGATAAGGCCTTTTATGAAAGCGCATCTAAATCGAGATAAAGACAAAGAACTTTTAAAATTAACTCAGTACCTCAAGGAAATAGCAAAATTGGATGACTTTTTGGACCTAAATCACAAATATTGGGAAAGGTAGGTGTTAATTTGCTTATTCATTTACTTTCTACATTAATGAATGAAAAAATTGGTGATTCTGGTTTACACATAAGTCTTAATTTTTATTTAAAATTGGTAAATCCTAAAACTGTTTTCTAATCTAGTGACATCTCCCCTGAAAGTATTTTTTCTTTTATCTTAACCTGTACATCAAGATTTTGAGGCAGGGAAGAACCTCTAGAGAAGTGAACAGGATTATTAAGTACTATACCACAAGTAATTTTTTGGAGTTAGATCTTTAAGATCTGATTCCACTAATAGCAACAGAAAAAACTGTTCATGTAATAATAATACTTTGGCTTTTCAAATTTCAATTTTGGCTTTTGATAGCACTCTGACATAAAGTTTCTTATTTAGAGTCTCATAAGCCTGTTAGGAAGATAAAAGGCAGGCATTTTTATCCCCATCTCCAAATTGTAGATGATATAACTAAATGATAGCTGTAAATGCCACAGCGCCAAAAGGGAGCAAGTTTTGCACTATCAAAACTTGTGCAGGTGTTCTGATTAAGAACTTTTTCCTCACCCCCATGCTCCTGAGTGTAGTAATTCATAAATGTGAGAAATGGAGACATAAAGATTTTTATTTAGCAATAGATTCCTATAAAATAATATGAAGAAAATTTTCTTTGCTTAGTAAACTAATTTCTTTGCATCTTTATACTCTTGATCAGAGTCCTTTAGTATCTTTGGCTTACTATCTTTATGCAAGAAAAATAAGACCTTTAAATGGAGTTTGAGGATTTTTTTTTCTCTTTTTTTTTTGGAAATTAACCATACTAGTTAATATATTACTTTCACGTTGAGCAGTCAGGCCGTAGAGAGTGATAGAGTACAACCTCCAGAACCTTGTTTTGAATCTGAACTCTGCCACTTTCTAGCTGTGTGAACTTGGGCAAATTCCTCTTTGTGCCTGTTAAATAGGAATAAGTTCTAACAGAAAACTCTTCATAGAGATGTAGTGAGGACTAGATGAATTAATACATGTACTTAGGACAGTGCTTGGCACATGAACAATCAAAAAATGTTAGCAATTATTAGCAGTTATTACTCATCTTGAAAAGTTTTGTTATTAAACTATTTTACTTTGAGAGGAAAGTTAGATCGTCATCGTGAATTTAGCATGATATGGCTTAGACATCTTTATTTTATTTCTTGCAGGTATCTCTCAAAGAAGCAAGGACAGTAGTTACAAGTTATACTGGCAGTTATTGAAGATACTTGAGATCCATGAACTTCTTGCTTTAATGCTAGAAATCATTATAATAGTGCTGGACACTGAAGCAAATACCAGACTGCTTATACTTGGTCTTCCAGTTTTTTGTAAATTTAATTTTATATTTTTTGAAGCTCATGGCAATATGCTAAAAAACAAAAACAAACAAACAAAAAACCCTTTTTTCCCCGGTAAGAATATACTGTTACTCTTGAAAAATATTTTCTCCAGCATTGAGTACTGAGTTTTTTTTCCCACATACACAAAAAAAAGTGGACAAAAATGTATATTCAACAATGTCATTTTGTGACTTTGGAAACAAGTTATGTCTTGTGTTTTTGCCTCCTTGTGGTGTTTGACTAAATCTTAGACCAAACCCATCTTGAAAACTACTGCTCTTCCTTTTAAAACCAAAAAATATCTTTTGAGTAAGGAACCTAGTTTGGTGTTTAAGTTAAAGTCACCAAGAGTTTTTTTCATTCCTTTGTCATAGACACAGTTTCTCTTCTTGCTCCACTATTTACATATCTAAATTCTGAGCTGTCTCAGTTTGGTCTGTATGTGTATCCATGTTCTTTGAGTAAAACTGGAAAATGTCAGCCGTGATACAGATATGTCATAGTATGAAAATTAGAAAACAAGACTGAAGAATAAAATTAAGGAACGAGAGTTTCTTTTTGGTGACTAAGTAGAAGCACTTCTGCCTAAAACCATTGTCATAAAAGCAGTTAAAGGCAATACATTTTTAAATGGGACAAATCATCGATTAAGCCCTAGAAAGCATGAACAAAAAGGTTTTGTTCTGTTCCAGCTATACCTTGTCTAAGTGCAAACACTGTTTCAGTGGAAATATCTAGCCATAAGCTTTAAAAAATTATTTGCAATGCTTAAGCCTGCAGATGTGTAATGTGGCCACTGTTTTGTGTTAACAGTATTGCTTTATACAGTTCTTGTATTTGAAAGGAATCTGATCCTTTCACAGGAACATGGTATATATCGTTCTTACGGGACTATTTCAGTGGTGTAAATAATAAATACCTTTTCTTAAAATATTGGTTGTTATCTCTTTTATGTTATCCTAAATATTTTGCCTCTATTCAATCACAAAACAAACTTTAGGTCTAGGCAAAGGCCTTTTGAAAAAATTACATGTGTATAGTTTTTAAAGTGTGTATTTCACTATTTATGCATTCAGAATTGGTTTTAGCAGCTAATTAGATACGTTAAATTACTTAATTCTAATAAGCACCATGTTTTCAGAAAGAAACTATTTTCTTTGTGACAGGTTATTGTAGGGATATACAATGCAGAAGAGTTTGAGAACCATTAAATAATTAAAATGATTCAATTAAAACGTGTTTCTTATATATGAGGTTAAATTTAAATACTTAACGATAGAATAGAATATTCATTTTATTGGTACATTTCCCCATTGTAAAAGGCAGTTTATTCCAAAGCAGGCATGGAGAGAGCTTAATCTTTTTAAAGAAAACGTAACACTTAAAACTATTTAGGTCAAGAAAGAGCAGACATTCTAAACATAAACTGAGAAAAATTAGCAAGCTTCAGGAAACAAAGTAGGATTTTTAAAAAACATTTTCTGCCATTAGATGGTGCCCAAACTAAAGATTATTAGCTGGTATATGCTAAAGAAAACAATTCTGAGAGAACATTGTCATTGTCAGTTTTTTGTGATCACATGTGCTTGTGCAGTTAACTACATTCATTGAGTATGGAAATTTAGGTTTGTCTTGCATCTCTTATTGGACTTGTATACTGATGTATTACTTTTTTTCTTTGTATGTGGCACACATAATGAAGCCAAGAGATAATTTAATTCAGATGTATATTCTGGTAAAATGGCAAGTTATTTTTATGATACCCTTATTCGTGGTTTCATTAACCATGGTTTCAGTTACCCACGCTCAGTCATCTTCCGAAAATATGAAATGGGAAATGCCAGAAATAATTCGTAAGTTGTAAATTGCATGCTGTTCTGAGTAGCATGATGAAATCTCGTGAGTCTTGCTCTGTCCCACCCTGGACGTGAATCGTCCTTCCCGTCCAGCGTCTGCACGTTGTGTATACTGTGTACGCTCCACGCTCGTTAGTCACGTAGTAGCCATCTTGGTTATCAGACTTGACTGTTACGGTCTCACAGCTCTTAAGTCCAAGAAACCCTTATTTTACTTAATAATGGCCCCAAAGTGCAAGAGTCGTGATGCCAGCAATTCAGAAATGCCAAAGGGAAGCTGTAAAGTATTTCCGTTGAAAAGGTGAAAGTTTTTGACTGAAAGAAAGAAAAAAAAATTATAACCTGAAGTTGCTAAGAGTTTACAGTAAGAATGAATCTTGAATCTTCATAAGGTTGTGAAGAAGGAAAAAAATTCGTGCTAGTTTTGTAGTCGTACCTCAAACTACAAAAGTTACCGCCACAGTGCGTGGTAAGTGCTTAATTAAGACGGAAAAGGCATTAAATTTACGAGTGGAAGATGATATGGCTTGATGATCCTCCTTCTGATATATGGTCAGAAAGTCAAGATGAGCCTAACACAACATCACAGCCTATGCCAATTCAGCTTATCTCGTCACGTCAGCATTGTGTCATCTCACATCACAAGAAGGGTAAGTACAGTATAAGATATTTTGAGAGCGAGCACATAACGTTACAGTATATTATTATAATTGTCCTACTTTATTATTGTTAATCTCTAACTGCCTAATTTATAAATTAAACTTTATCATAGCTATGTATGTATAGGAAAAAACGTAGTATATATAGGGTTCGGTATTATCGTGGTTTCAGGCATCCACTGGGGATCTTGGAACATATCCCCTGCAGATATGGGGACTACTGTATATATGTTCCAAACTTTCAAACAATTAGTACCTAATAAAGTATATGTAATCTAAACAGTGCAGAACATCATTAAATCTTTGATCTAGAGGGCAGTTTGATATTTAGTAGCCCTTCATATCCTTTATGAAAATCAGTTATTAGACAAACGTTATCTATTGGAGTAATTTAATTTTAAAGACAATAGATAAACAGGCCATTACAGTAAGCAACTGATATATTCTTCATTTTTAAAAAGTAAAATGGTGGTCTTTTGGGGAGGAGGTGGAGCTGTGCAGGGTAGGGACCAGAAAAGAAGGATATGCAAAAAAAAAAAAGGAAAATGCAAATTACTTAGGTTATTGCTTGGTTTTTAAACGACAATTTGTTGCCACGAATAGTAATAAAACGTGATTAAACCAGTTGAGGGGTTTTCTCATCCCAAGTAATCAACAAAACTCTCTCAAGGAATAATTTGTTACAGTTTCCCTTAAAGTATTTATACATAAATATTCATTAATCTTATTACTAGCTGGAATAGCAGCCCAAGAGGTATCTCTAAAGATTAAACCCTTAGATATATATGTAAGGTATACCCATTTTCAGAATTGCTTTGGAGAAACTGAATGGGTCTTGCTAAGCATTTAGACCTTACAGAGAAATCTTTGGAGATTAGTTTGATAGATTTATCAAAGGCTCCTGAGAAATTAATGCACTAAGAACTGGAACAAATCAATATTAGGCATCCTGTGGGTGTAGAAAAGGGTGTCAATTATCTAAAAATGTCAGTGAGGTTCCATTTAGAATGTAAAATCAGAAAAAACTCCCCACGCTAATTTTTAACAACTCTGGAAGTAAGCAAGCATTTAAATGCTAGTGTAAAGATAGTTCCTGATATAAAATGTTACTTATTAAAACAGAGATTTCCTTCTTAAAAGCTTTAAAGTTGAACCTATGGTTTGTAAGAGCATTGATAAACAGTGGGAATGCAGTCCTTAAGAATATCAAAGGGTTGCTTAAGCATTAGTGATACTTCCATGAGTCAATGATCCTGTTCCCAGTTCTTAATTCCCTGAAGCATTTTTAACTGTTATCACATCTCGTTGCATAATCTGTAAAGAGAACAGCTATAGTTTCCCAAAATGAGGCCTTAAGAAGAAAGGACAAGGTATTTGTCAGAAAAACATTTGGCTAGAATGTCTCCTTGCCAGTGGTGGGACCTTGGGCAAGTCTCTAATTTTTTGAACTTTTGCTTCCTCCTTCTTAAAAAAGTACTAATAATAATACCTGTCTTTCCCATATGCTGTTGTGAAGGTCAAATGAGACAATTCATGTTGAAGTACTTTGAAACACAAAGGCTTATGTGAATGTTAGATGTTATTAAAAGTGATTCAGAATGTGTGGTTATCAGTGAGCTGTATCATTCCCGAAATTGTAATTACCAAGAGTATAGTATTAGGGAAACTTTTCTTGATTAAGTCTATATTTTACAAGTATACCTTGGCTTTCTAAGAGTTCTGAATAATCAAGGAAAGTAGAATGAGAAAACACTTCTTAGGGTCTAGATGTTTTTGTAAGTACGCAAATGGTTTTAAGTCTACAAATGCCATTTAGTAATGATCTGGACTGGAATACCCTACCCTGATCCCCAAGCCCCAAAGTGGGCATGATTGAAACTTTAGCAGCATTATAATACATCTTTTATAGTGTAATATTAACATTATTTTAGTCTAACTTTGGAAATCAGCTTATTCTCAGATAGAAGCCTGCTAATTTTGCCATGCCATGTAAGAAATAAAAGTTATTCAAAAGGAATAAGTTTTTTAAAACTTTTTTTCTTATAAAAATATACTAAGATACGTGTATGTTTTTTTTTTTTCCCTGATAGACTTGGCAGAATAAACTGTCTGTGCAGGAACTAGACAGGCAACATTTAACATATATTCGTTAGTACCAATTATCTATCTCAGGCACTGTTCTTCAAAGATAAACAATGAAATTATCTTCACAGAGCTTATATTCAAGTAAGGGAAACAATAAAGAAAAAAACTAGTAAGATAGTTTTTAAAGAATGAGAGGTATTATAAAACTATGATAGAAAGTGATTGAGGTGGTAGAGTTGTAGGGTGGTGATTCACAATATCATGAGCTAAATAGAGAGGACCTGAATAATAAGATACATTTGGAATATGATGAAGAGTGCTGTGGGCAGAGCTAGGAGCAAGTATAAGACCTTCAGGCAGGAACAAGGTAGACAGATGCAAGGACTAGTGGGAGGTAAGTTGTGGCTGGTGGGAGATAAGCATGGAGAGAGGATAGGTAGGATTTTGCAGATCACATAAGTAACCTGGTGAATTCTAAGTGAAATGGGGGTGGGAGGAGGGACGCTGGTGGAGGGTTTTAAGTAAGAGAATGATGATTTTTTTTTAGTAGCCTTATTGAGATATAATTTACACACTATAAAATTAACCCATTTGAAGTGTGCAATTCAATAGTTTTTAGTATATTTACAGAGTTGTGCAGCCATTACCATGACCTAATTTTAGAATCTGATTTGTTATTAAAAGATCATTCTTGTTCTTGTGTAGAGAATTTATTAGAGAGGGGCAAAAGTGGAAAAGACAAGATTAGTTAGAGGCTATTGATAATATTCAGGTTAGAGATTTTCAAAGTGAAGTTCACATTCCTTCATTGCATCATTTCTCAACTAACTGCTGAGTCCCTATGATGTGCCTGCCAGACACTGTTCGATGTGCCAGGTCTTCAGTGGTGCCTAAGAGACATGATCCCTGCCCTATCGAACATGCATCTGCAGGATTATACCTGACAAACAGCTCTCTGGGCTTCACCACTTGGTAAGAGATTTAATTTGAAGAAGAGAGAACTCAGCATATCAAAGTCAACATAGAAAGAGCCTTTCTCACTCCACCTCTACCCATAGTGAAAAAGCCCTCTGATTCCAGCCAACCTCCTGTCCAGAGGCTTGACCCTGGATGAAGGATCCAGTATGACCATGCATGTGACAGTGTGAGGGGAGAGCTAGATGTCTGTGTATTCAGGAGGATAGATCGAAGGCCCCCTTTCATTTCTCCTCTGGGGAGTGTTATGGTGAGAACATCCTATTCTAGCTATTTCATATATGGGTAGCTGAGAGAGTCATTTTAAAGAGGATTTTGCATTCGTTGTTCTCTCAATATATTGCCACTTCTTCCCCTT